ATGCTGGCTGGGGAATTCTGGGAGTTGAAGTCCACTCATCTTAAAGTGGCCAAGTTTGGACAGCACTGGAATAGAGCTAGTCAAATGCAATTGTGTTAATCAAATAGTGGCCGTCATTTTCTTCAAGGAGAGTTAAAAATCAGATGAAGGCACTACAGTATTACTTCTGCTCTTAGACAATATGCGACAGAATCTTGCTTTCAAACCCTGCAAAAATGGAATCTGTCATACAGATCACCACATGTCATCTGTCTGTAGAGAAACACTGCTAGGCCATTTGTTTTGTGACCATGTAGTTCAATTACTGAGGAGTAGCAATCAAGGAATATTGGTCTGGATTCGGACTGAAACATCCCTCTACTCACACCAAGGTTCAGTCTGGGTTATATCTACCACCCGTTATTTATGAAAGAAAAACTTGCATTCAAGGCAAAGTATGTCTGTTTTGACCCTGAGAGGATAGAACTGGATGTTTTAATTCAGTACGGAGTATTTATCCATTACATTCCTTCTTTTATTTTCACTTATTCCATAAGACACTGAGATATTTCATAATTGTTGAATGGGATTCAAGTGCCTCAAGAAAAGTTAATTTATAGCATGTTAATGTTTCTGCATTAAAAGTATTCTTTTAATTTAAATTTAAAACACTTTTTCTTTCCATTCACAATATTTTGCTATTTGGAAAATGCCATAAAGCTGAAAGAGTTTAGTGCTCCCCATAGATTACTTAAGCACTCCTTAAAATAATTTACAAAAAGGCACTTATTTTCCTCATGAAACCATCCTTCCCATTTCATGAACCTTTTTCTTTTTGTTTGCCTAAGATTTTTTTCTAAGGTATATCTCTCATCTTTGATAGAATGGACATGTTTCCTAAACATTAAAAGCTAAATTAATTACCAAAAAACATATAGAGTGTATTTTACTAAAAGCAAACTTTCAATTTCAGACTCTCTGGAAATGGAGTAGCATATAAACTGTAGTAATAAAAAACAAATAAATCTTAAATCCTCCTATACATTATGTGGGACTGCAAAATCCTATTACTGATAACAAATTCGGAAAATGTCGCTTAGCATTAACACTAAAACCTATCATTTGGAAATATATTTAAGCATCAATTCATCAATTATCCCTTATTAATTTTGCACTTTGGCTATTACCAGAAAATAAAATGTTGAATTTGGATTGGAAATACATTTCACCAATCTGATAGGGCTTTTGTTCAGATAAAAAAGAATTATTCCATGCATAAGGCCTAACATTTCAGAATATAAGAGTAATTGATTTATCTATGCTTTATATCATAAAAGAAATCTACATCTAATGGCAGACATCTGGCAAATCACAAACATAATTACCTGGGCCAGAAGTGCTGCCAATTCTAGTGCCAGATCTTTATTTACAGGGAAGAACCCATTTATAATTTGATCATTTGTCTGATACATTAACAGCAGCTTTTCTCTTTCTGTCTCTCCCCGGATTTGTACTGAAAAATAGAGCCTGTGAAAGAAAACAGTGATATGTTAAATGCTGATAATCACATAGTATGTGCAGGGAATAAATTATAAGGTACTGATATATATAAAGTCAGTTCTAGTAATAACTTGAAATACACATTTTAAAGACTACTAAAAAGAAGTCTGATCATTTTTAAACTGAATTCATAGAAAATGATGCCCTATGTAGAAATATCAAAAGAGATACATTTTAAGACTGCAGTTGTACAATGCAGTGAAAGCAACATTCTTTTTAGTGTGATATTTACACAGGTTCTAACTAACCATCAGTATTTTGAAACTTTTATAAATGAAATAGGAAGAGAAAAGGTAGCCCTACAGTGGGAAAAATCACAAGAAATAAGGCAAGGAGATAAAAAGGGAAACCAAGAGAAGGCTAACATAATAATCTGAATTTCCAGTTTTCAACAGAAAATTTCCTTTCTCAGAATAGAAGACCAAAATAGACAGGAGAACCAGTTTATATTTGTTTCTCTTTGGTGCACTACCATATTTGCCTACAAGTTGCTTTCAATGTGGAAATAACCTTCTCTGATGAAACCCAATTTAAGATGGTATCTTGGTTAAGATGGTACCTTTAGTTCCCTCTTTCTGAATTTTCCACATTCTTATTAGGAAATAGGCAAGCTAAGAAAGGAAGATTCTGGCGGATCTTCCTAGATCCTTTGACCTGTTCTTCCCTTCTAGTTTTTCAAAGAGAGAAAAAGAGATGAGATCAGAAGTATAACGCACTTTGAACCTGCATCCCCTTAACATTTTAATAACTGTATTGCTGAAAGCCTGATCAAAGGCATGTAAGCAATCAAGAACTAGAATCTTTGAAAAGTAGCTTCATGTAGGAAATATGAATTAAGGTATAAATCTATTCTAAAGCGCAAAGTTTTATAGGGATAGAAGTGAAATTCATTATATTATACCTGTTTTTGTAAGTAAGCCTAACTGTTCTTGTGCCTTCACATTTCCCAGGATGCTGCTCTTTAGAGGCTTGCTCCCATCTAGAAATAATGTCACAGATCTAGAAGGAAAGCCATGAGGAACATGTTTATTCCATGAGGTGCCCCATATTGTACATTTTGGTTAAAACGTATTTTATTGTGCGGAAAGGATGCATGCCTACACTTACTTTGATATAAAGTAACAACTAGAGGGAATTATTTTACTGGCCATTAAGCAATATCATGCAAATCAACTGTCATAGAGTATTATACTTATATTAGACTGAAAGCACTGAACATTTTTACAGATATCCTTTTCAAATTATATTTTCATAATGAACTTTATGAAACTACTTTATGAACAAAATTTAACAGAACAATCCAGAAATCTCCACCATTTATTATGCTACTTTATTCTGTTTGCATCAAGAAAAATATTAAACACATTAAATTTTAGTTCCAAACTTAACCTTCTTATCAATAAATACTATACACACACACATATGGAACTCATTAAAATAGCTGCTCACCTTGATGTTTCCTTGAAGACAGTGTTCAATATCCTTGCCAGAAGGATCATCAGTAAACAAAGCAAATCCTGACTGCGCTGGTTTTCTCATTCCTGTATCCTGATTGAGTGTGTTCAAAAATTCTTCAACAGTGGTAGAAGCATCAAATCCAACAACCTACATAAGGCCACATGAATTTTACATCAATTAAGTTTGCACTAAACTTGAATGTCAGATTTTGAAGAAACAACTGTCATGCTGAAAATATGAAAGTAACATATTGGATTCAAGGATGTTCTTCCACCCTAAGAAGTTCATATATGGATTCAAATCAGACTGAAAATATAAATACATGATATAGATCTAAAGAAAACTGCACAAAATTCAAAAATAAAAATATGTGTACAGAAAGACCAAAGAGGTGGGAACAGGAAACCCTCCATTTCTTCCATAATAGCTGAGCCCTAGAATTACATTTCCCATATCATTAACCGACATCTTTATTCTGATCCAGCATTAAACTCATGACAATTTGGTTTGTGGGTACTGAATGGTATAGCAGACTGTCTCTGCTTAGTCCTGCTTAGTGACTGTGTCACAATTCCTGCTTCATATATAGTTTTTTAAAAAAGGAATTGTTTTTGAATGCTCCAAAATCAGTGTAGATATTTTAAAGCAATGACTCGATGGACAGAGGAAAGGCAACTTTGATAGATACAAGCGGCCCTTTTAAATTGTGGGGATCTTATTCCAATGTAGAAACATAGACAATGAAACAATGAATGACAAGATTTTGAATCTTCGGTAACTGAAACATATATTATGGAGCCTATGGACACTCTCTTCCTCCTATAAATATACAATGTATTTGCTCCTTATTCTACTTGCTTGATTGCAGTGGATTTCTCTTTATTAGCTAAAATTACCAATGCTATGATTGGAAGCTTCAAAAGAAAAAGGATTACATCTATTACAAGCACCACACAGTCATTGGAACTAATTGTATGCTGTCTGCAGGGAGCACTAGCATCCGGTGTGACAATCAGAAACCTTCTTCATCAATACCATGAAAGAACTGTACATAACACTAAAGCCAGCATGAGTAGGGTGATTCTACCCATCACCAGTCAAGCCAGTTGCTCTGAAGATGACCAGCTGCCATGAGGAAACCACACTGAGCTTCATGACCAGGCTGACTCAGCGAAATCCATCCCTACTAACTAAGGAGGAGGAGGAAATACACTGCATGGATGAACTAACTTTAAAAATATAAAAGCATGTTGAAAAACCCATCTGCCATTTTGTGCATAAAATAATAAAAAAAGTAAGGCCAATAATGTAGAGAAGTGAAAACTTTCAAATGTATTCTATGGTCATTTCTCTGTTTATCAACCACAGATATGCAAAACCACAGATTCAAGACTGCAGATAACAGGGCCTTTTGCACATCTTCCTTTAGCCAAATGAAAGTGGAAATAATACTAATGAGTATTCTGAAATACAATCAGTAGAAAGACTGAAATTACTTTGCCACCACAGAAAAATGAGAGATTATCCTTATTTTTAAAAAAATACCAACACGAAATGTTGGCTAATCATTTATTATATTATAAATTGCTGCAAATTGTTTTTCTAATGAAAATTTGTATTTGTTTTATCTGGTCAAATTTTATTTACTGAATAAAAGTGTGTACACATAAACAAACATTCAGATTGAAAATTACCTGATTATCAACAAGGAGGGAACTAAACCTGTGGAATCTTTAATTATCTGTGGCACTTGTGATTTTATCTTTCCATTATAATTTTATATTATTTTATGCTTAAGATCTACCTGGTATATGCCATTCATGAAATGCACTGGAATGCTAAAAGGTAAGGAGTGATGGTAGGGATTTCTTAGAAGCGTTGAAAGAATTTCCATTCTTGATGGTCTGGCTTCTCTGTCACCATTCTGTTGTGTTCTTTCTACACATCGTTGACAGTAAATTGCATATTTTCCAAATTCAGTCCTATAAACACAAAGCAAGTCTTTATGAGCTAAAATTTTAAAACAGATTTCAAGTAGTCATGTTAATATATAAAATTTTTAAATATGTTACTTTGCTTTGCATATTTCTCTAACATCTCCACTGAGAAACAGTATGTGGATTATGTACATGGATTTAGACTCGATATACAGAGTTCCAGACTGGCATGATCACACCCTCTATTAAGTACATTGCAAATGTGAAGAACTGGCTTTTCTTTTGCAAGCTATTAACTCATGGCTTTCTAGGTTGTTTCCCTGCTGGAACAGTGAGAGTAAGAAAAGCCAGGAACCCATGCATGGATGCATCCATGCATTTATATATATAAAACAGATTGGAGTAGAAAAAAATGAGAATTGAGATAAAAGTCTTAGGAATGGAAAAATCAGAACAAACAAAAATTCTTAGAAATCAATGGTTTAAAATGAAGAATAACACAAAGGCCAGAAGTTCTGACCAGGGCAAAAAGCAAATCCAAACTGGGGAATCTACTGGTACATAGATTTAACCAAAATGTGAATGGAATGACTCCATCTTTCCTGTGGACTATGAGATTAATCCTTTATTGAATGTCTCCTCTCATTTAACAGAGAATGGTGTCAAGAAAAAGCCATCCAAATCTCATTCTAGTATTTAAATGTTCAAGAGATATCACATTATTAAATATTTTGTATCTTTCCTGATCCCTTAAAACATGGCTGTGGGGTACACATGTAAAATGCAGAACAGTGACTTAAATGCTGTGCCAGCTCAAGGGTATATGGCACCTCTAGACCACACTGATGGCACCACTTCCTGCCAATGCAAAGATTTGCATTTTTAGAATAGCCTTTGTTTTTGGAAGGAGGGGCAGCACTGGGGCTCCCTAAGCTTTGGTGCCTTAGGCTACTGCCTACTTGGCCTTAGCCTAAAGCTGGTCCTGCCTGAACAAGCCTACTAAGTTTCCAATAAGGCACTGTTCAGTGGAGCCCAAGTTGGATTTTAAAACTGAAAAAAAGAATGCTGAAGTCACAGCATTCAAGGTTAATTAACTGAGGTCACAATAATAGTTAAAGTTACATGTTTTATATTTCTATGTTACATTCCATTCCAATATTTCAATAATAAAAACCAATCTTTAGATTTCAATGACATTATCTCTTCATAAGATATACCTGGAATCTGCATTCTTCTTCAAATGAAGTTTGAGGAACCAAAGGAATGGGTGCTGTGGAAGGAAGAGTCCAACACAGAGTGCTAAAAGCTGCCAGGCCTAGTCAAGAAAGAAAAGCAGAACCATTGACTCAAGTTTCTCCCAGAATCAAACTGTCTTCAAGCAAGGCCTATGAACATAACAGAAAATGAACCACTGAGAATCCAGTTTAAAGACGTTAGTTTTGTGTGCACTTTTGTGAGATTAGAGAGTGAAGATAAATGAAGTCAGTTCTGCAACAGAAATAATGGAAAAATGATACATAAACCTCAGACAATGTAAACTCCCAAGACTAGTATTAGAAATATGCTATGTATTTGTTTTATCACTTGCTTTGACAATCCCAAACAATTTGTTATCTATTATAATGGTATAATTCATCTTAAATGTTCTAGTATAATTATATTCTTCAAATGAATAAATATGCATTGAATTAGTATAGCCAGGACCCAGTCTAAAGGATTTTTAAACATCAACATTGTATTCACACAGTACATTGTGCCCTGTTCATTTTGCTATTTCACAGGTTTTCCATACTCTAACTTAATGACAGATAATACAGAGAACAATATATAACAACTGGAATGGAAAGTGACATTAAGGAATTATCTGGAATTAAATATCTTCGGAGATGAAACAAAGTTAGTTGCTACTGAAAAGAAAAAATTATAGAATTAATAGAGTAAAAATAGACTATTTTTTCATCACATTCTGTTGGATTTGTGTGTGTGTGTGTGTTCTAATAGCACACACTTTCACTAAGAACTATATTATCCATCCTTGGTACAGGAATGACAGATATTTGCTGTAATATGTTTAGCACCTGAACTGGTCCTATTTGATTTGGTGGCTGTCGTCTTCTTGTTTGCTTTACCAATTGACAACAGATTTCATTCTGAAGCTCTGGATGCGTAAGACACACTTGCAATGCACTTTGGGCCAAAGACACATGGTAGTCAATAGCAGGGGAATCCACAGCAGCATTGATAAACAACTGGCATGTCTAGAAAAAAGCATAACACAGCTGAACTTCAGTTCTGTATTTAAGGTTTCAATAATAACTATTTTGGAGGACTGCAACATCATCTCTGGTTTCATCATAATAAGAAACCAGTTACTCAACCACTTTGAATAACATATCCATGTTGGCTTTAGATAACAAGTACCTACTGGGTAGAAATTAACACTGAAAGAAGGAAATTAGTTCTTTATTCCTTACTGTTGTGCTGGCTAGCAGCTGATGCTACCATCTATTTTATCCCCACCAGACTCAAGGAATGATCAGAAAACAAAACCATTTCCACTGGGTCAACTACAATTGATTGCTATTTAACTCTTCACCTCCCCAGACCATACAAAGTTATCTTATGCAATGTTGTCGTATTTGTTAATTGAGAACTATATTGTCTATCCTGATTAACAGTGACTGAGGTCTTTCACATTATTACTTCCTAATCTATTTTTCACAAAGATGCTAGGAACTGAATATCCTCTTATTAAATATGAACTATATTCCCTTCATAAACCATATCCAGGAGATGTATAACTTACAGTGCAGCCTGATACACTTTTATTCAAAAGTAAGCTCTGCTTTTAATGCCTATCTTTTCAGTGTCTTGAGTGTGACAAATAACTGTCAAAAGAGAACTTCCTTCATAGGTATGGAGCACTCTCCTGTAGTAAAGTTGTCAAAAGCCATCTTTAGAAATATGGGCATGATCATTATACTTCTAGCATTTAAAAGCCAGAGTTGAATTTTATGGTGGAACTCTGAATCTTTGCTCAAAACAGATCTTGCCTTATTCAACAGCTAATAAATGTGTTTTTGACTGCTGCTTCAAGGAGATTTGGATTTTTATAATTTAAGTTCTTTTTTACACAATTGCCTTCTGATGTATTGTGCATCTAAAATTTGTAAGATAGATTGTGCTGTAACTTCCAATAAATTAAAATCAGCTTGATTTGTTAATTGCCACAGTAAAGATAAAAAGGATTTGGAGAAGAAATGTTGGAAGCATTAAAGTTTTTTTTTTAATTATTTATATATTTTATAGGGCTTATAAGCCAGTCCAATCACAACTGACTCTGGTTAAACGGCTGAATATTTATATTATAAATTATAAAATTAACTGTAATAGATGTTCCTCATCACTTATATATAATACAATACATAATTAAATTTTATACAATTATAAAAAATATTTTAAGGGAAAAATTCTGAAAAAGTTACTGTTAAAAAGGAAAAGTTATATCATGGTTACCTTGAATAATTTTATAGCTTCTGTTTGCAGAGCCTCTGATGGAAGGGTCGTAAGAGGAGAAGTAATTCCATCTTTGCTATGACAAAGAGTAGGATGCCTCCAGATTTGAGAAGCTGGGAATTAAAAAGGGAGCCATGTTTTTGTACTACTTATAAGTCCTTAGTAGTAAAAATGTAGTAGTAGATTGGCCTAGTAAAGAGTTCTGGCTCAAAACTTGGGGCACTGTTTAAGTTAACTGGTGTCATTTTGGTTGATCCTATTGACACAATTGCCTTATAGAGGAAATTGGATTTTTTCCCTCTGCATCAATGCTATATATGATTTAAAGAAGCTGATCTCCTCCAAAAGCCCCCCAGATTAAATAATACATAATTTAGTTTTTTTAAAGTTTAAAGGCATAAATATAATGAAATCAAGAAATATCAGAAGATTTTAGAGTTTCCCCCAGAAATCTTGCAAAACTTTAGGCAAGATTTTGTATAAGAATGCTAACATAGCCTACATGATTTGCAATTTCATGAAATAATGACCATTTTAAAAACTATAACCATGTACACCCACAGATCACCAATAGTAACTGTGCTACAGGCTGTGAAGAACTGAATTAAGAAAATTATAAATTACAGGGGACATTATATGATAATATGTGTATGTTCTATACAAATATGTATATAAATTCCAGCACATATGTGTATCTTTATAAAAATACTTGGAGTTCAGTATAATATCAACACAGACTATTCTGAAGCACACAAAATTCATTTCCATGTTTTTTACTACATTATTTCATCACAATATTGTGTAATACTGTATTTGAGAAAAGCCTGTGAAAATGCCATTTTATTTTTTGCAAATAAGCAGCACCCACAAAAGTGTATATTTTGCTTACTTGGACTGCAAAATCGATAAAACTTCAATATGCACTACTTTAAAGTTCCAGGGAGCAATATATTACTCTCTTCCTGAAAATGTTAATATGCTCCTGCTGCATTCCTGTCTAGTAAAAATCACGATGCTACTGACAATGTCAAAAGTTTAAAGATTTGATTAGTTAATTAGGCTGCAGATTGTCTACTAAGTCAAACTATGACAGCTAACTTGAAAGGCAGTTTAAATAACCCTATACGGCTATGTGAAAACTAAAAGAAAAGTACTGACAGCATCCCATATATATTAAGTTTTCACTTAGAAATAGTAGTCCAGTGCACCTACTGTTACTCTAATAAGTCATATACAGAGGAGAGTAATGCATTTTTTCTCAGATGTGCATACATATGAACAATTAGAGACCATCAAGAATAAAGTGATGGTTGCATTATCCAGATGTCAGTTCCTAGATCCAGCAACTTATGCTATATAACATATTCCCAATAACTGAAAAATTAATCCACTTTTAGAAATACTTAGATTATATCCCACATTAATTCTAATGAAAAGTACAACTAAGAAAATGGCTGTCACATGGGCATCTGCAAGGGGCAGGTAAAGAGGGTAAATGATGAAATATGTAACATGATGTCACAATGCAGGCTCCGCCCCTTTTCTGCATGTGCCATGGTGTCACATGCATACAGATAACAACGTGGAGCTTGCATCACAATGTTGTGATGCTCACTTCCTCATTCTTGAAGTCATTTGATTCTATGGACTTCTGGGATGCCATCAGATACTGATTGACAGCCACTGATATTTCTCAAATCAATAGCTAAGGGTTATGCAGTTTGTGAATGCAGACAAAAATGCCATAGATAAATTTGTTGTTTCTAAGTTATACCATAGAGGCTTTGAGTAGTCTCCTTGCATTGTGATTTAAAAAAAACAAAACAAAACTATACTAGAATAATAGCTAATGGGCTGCACATACTTTGCAAGTGATTTTAAGAGGTTTTTTAGAAACTCATACAAGTACTTCTCTGCTCTTCATTTAATCAGCCTGAAAAAAAAAAGATGCTGCTGCTTTAAGGAATCCATTCATTAAAGTTAATGTGACTCTTAAAGCAGCAGCAATTATACATCCTGATAAATAAGGATTGGTAGCAGGAAAAGATATTGGCTTACTGGGTTCTCCTTCAATATTTAACAGTTTGCAGACAAGCTGTTCAAACTCTGTCCCAACATTTATATTTGTGCTTCCAGCAACAACAGTGAGATAATAGAGCCAAGTATCCTAGGAAATCAAAACATAATTTGTTTCACTTAAAGCTCTTTTTAGAAAAAAAACAGGAAAAGCTGATCAAAACATTTAAACATAACTTTAATTTCAAAAATACTGTATGTAACTGTTCTACAACTCAATTTAATCAAAGCATTAATTACATTTATTTCCACCAGAAACATCAACTGAGATCATCCAATACAAACTTACATTGCAGAGTGCAAAATAAAGTACATTTTCTTAGTGCATAATAAAACATCATAGTTTCTAGTATCTAATCTTTGAGTTTACATCTGAATCCTGACTAGTCTTTCAATTTGCAATCTTATATCAATTTACATAGGAATAAGCTCAATTGAACTTAATGGAATCTTTTTCTGAACAGGAAACTTATCTAAATATTCCAGGCAACATTTTCATCTGTTAGACAACTGGTAGTGTAAACACTGGTAACAATGAAGAAAGTATAAAATTGAGTGACAGATAAGAAAATATTATCTCTCATTCCAAATAGCAATTTAATTATCAATATGTAAGTGTGTGTATGTGGACAAAATAAAAAATGACAGAAGAAAGGAAATGTATGCGTCGAATGTGTTGCAGAAAATGGAAACTAAAAAACTTAATTTTCAGAAAATCTCAGAAATGTATTGGTGAGTAACCACATCATTGTACATCTTCCTGACACGTAAGTTTTCCATGTACTTCATGACATACTTTAGTCAATTATCCAAATAGAACAATCTGAACTCATCTGAAATTAATTTAACAAGGTTACTCTCTCACATAGTCATTCTGTTCAAATGTCAAGTAAATCACAATTACAAGAAAGAACTTTGTCTTCCCAGGCCACATGTACCCACTCCCTACTTTAGACACATCCAAAGTAGCTTAACTGTGATTTAAACAAGCTATCTTCATAAACTATGGTTTGGCTGGCTTCTATCTTTCTACAAGTTTCAACTTCTTGCAGCTGCTCCTAATGAAGGGGAAGCACAATGCTCATTGGAGGTAAATTCCTGTTATTCTAAATTATTATGTAGAATTATTTCTAAACCAGATAAATTCCACTTAGTTTACCCCTCAATATATAGTTTTTGGTTCCCCCCCCTGCAAATAAGTGATAAAAACTGTGCTGCGTAAACTTGGGACAATGGAACTTTTGCTACCTTCTCATACTTGGATCCTATTAGAAGATATGTGGGGGCTTGTTCCTTGGGATGGATGACAATGGTAAAATGTGTTGATAATAGGCTACGACCACTGGCCTCATAATCTTCATCTGAATCACAGGATCGATCAACTTCTTCAACTTTAGCTTCCAATAGTTTTATCTGGCCCAAGGGAAACTAAAAGTAAAAGCATTAACATTAGAAAGGAGCTGCATTACTCAGCACCATTGAAAACTAACAAACAAAAGTATATTTAAACACATAGGTAGTACGTTTAACAACTTTGTGATCTCAAGTCAAATGGAATTACTGCCAAATTAAGATGATAAGGATCTTGTTTTAAAATAGGCTCCAATATGATTCCTATTTTTCATACGTACCAGAACATAAATGGTGGGTTGTTAGGGCTATAATCCTTAAATGTTTTGTTAAGAGTATATGCAATGCATGATTCAGAATTAGACTTATAGAAGTGTACAACAGATGTTGTAATATCATGCTGTATTTTCTTTCAACCAATGCAGCCAAATGCAGATGGTTAAACTTAGAGAGTAATGATATCAGTTAACATATAGTTATATCAGAAGAATAAAGACATGAAGGAGAGATCCTTGCCTCACATTTAATATAAGAGTTAATTCCACTCTTAGACCTCTGATCAGAAAAGAGCAAAATCATTTTAGAAAGATCTAAATGCATAACTTGTACATTATGTAATATGAACAAGTTATTCCCTCTGTTAATATTATATGAAGCTAAAGATGTTAGGTTATATTTATAAAATTACAATCAAATTACCATCATTGTTGCCACTATCCTAACAACAATCTACTCAAATTTCCTTTCCTTGAATATCCCTACAAGTAAAAAATTCAAATTTTGATTGAATAGTATTGCCATAATAAATGTTAAATGCATTATATTTACTTACACCAACATAAATTAGTACTAAAAAGAAGTAGATAAAAGTATTGTCAATTAACCAGACAGCACTTACTAAAACAGCCCTAGAGAACTACTTACTTAAAATGCATACTTAGCCCCTTAAAAAAGAAAAGAAAAAGTATCAGCTAATGAGGAAACCCTGCAGAACAGCTGGGCAGGTGACAAAACAAGACTTTTGCTTTGACTAATTTTGGTCTCTAATGTACAAAATGAAAAAAGCCACAAGTACAGCATTGAAAAGAAAGAAATTTGGATTGAGCTATAGACTGTACCAATGCCTAACGCATTTGCTGCAACCAAATGAAATCCAGTTGATCAAGTTTAACATACTTCTCACTCCATGACTGAAACTGGATAGATTTCACTGAAAACATGGTTTATATTTATTCAGCTTATTTTAGTTACAACTGTGCATAATTAATAGATGGGGGAAAGGATTAACAAATGATTAACTCCCCCTTTCAGATTTCAGCTGGCAAGAGTGGTTGTAAAATGGAACTTCACCTGCAGATGTATGTCCATGTCTCCATTTTTTGTTTGTTTGTTTTTTCTCACCATGGAGGAGCTCTTCAGTGAAACCAAGAGACTGAGGGAAGGATTAGTCTCTTGTTGTTCCATTGGGATCTATGGTGGTTCAGGCCCCAATCATTCCCTCCCTCCCTCCCTCCCTCCCTTCACCAACCAACCAACCAACCAACCAAGAGAAATGATGGCTGGCTGCCCATCACAAAGTAGCTGAGAAAGATACTCTGGACTTTCATCTCCAGAAGTCAGCAAACACACACATCTCCACCCTGCTTTATATAGACAAGATAATTCTCTTTAGTTCCTCTATGGCACTCAGAGTAACACTGAGGATACTTGCTCAGTATTACAAGGAAGATCACCTGGAAAAAAATGATCATAAGTCCAAAATCATGGTCTTTGCCAGGAGATGAAACATACATTTATGGCATACATAGGAACACAACCGAGTAAGTCTTATGCTTTAAATACCAGAAGGTAATCTTGCAGGCCTCAGGCTCTAAGAAGTTTCATGGATGCTTTTTGCCCAAAATGCCCAGAGGAATACTGGCATCATTTTTAAATTCTCCTAGTAAAAAGGTGGCTTCACATCTGCAAACCTTAAACTATCTTAAAGTTTTTAGTTTAACTTCTTTACAGATGGCCTTTGTCCACTCTCTGGAACTCATTCTAACACCCTGCTGTGTCTCTAATATTGGTCTTTAACTGGAGGTGGATTTGGTGAAAATAGAAATAACGCATACTCTATTTTGGGCAAAATCTATCCTTTTCCCCAATAGGTCTGGCTCCTGTAATCCTGGAAAATGGATATAAATCTCCCTGGAAGTAAACCTGGTCAAACTATCATCATTTTGTTTCCCTCCTTCCATTTATTCTTCCTGGGCTATGACCAGACCAATATACTCCTTAAATAGTGTATAATAGATGGATAGTTCCAAACATCTCCATCAGTGAAATCTTAGGATACACAGTAACACCAGCTGCATATCGTATGCAGCTAGAAGCCCCTAACCACAGAAGGACTTCCTTTGGTCCACTGAAGTGCCTTCTCTTCAAATGTGTGAGATGGAAGATATAAGCACTTCCTTTTCTCCTGCTCATTTTGCAGAGATCTGCAGTACCCTTATTCTTCCATTTCCCACCAGACTGGCAGGCCACACAGACTACTTCTACATCCCCCTATTAGTCTTGACTAACATTCACATAACACATAATGTTTTCAATTTCTTTGCATGAAGCAGCATGCAAAATCGCCAGTAGTGATTGCCAGCTAGAGCTAATCATGAGCAATACATGCCTAATTATTAGATTGCTCTCTTTAATTTCCAGTTATGCGGTTTTATAATTTCTGTTGTTGAAGCTTAATTTTAATGTATTTCTTTTAGATTTTTAGATAGCACATTATATTACTTTATATTTTATTAATTACTTGGATTTTAAATACACTTTTATTTTAGTTAACCTTCCAGCTTTTTGTAGTTTCATAGCAGATTTATAATTTTTATTTTACCATTTTTTAATTTTATAGTTGCTATCCTCACAGGTTCAAGTCACAGACTTTTTTATGTTATAGTTGCCGATTCCATAGTCTCTGTAGTACTTCATGCATTTCAAAGACTGAAATAAAATGTATTGTATTATATGGTCAAGAAAGGAGATAAGGGAAGACTTTACCTATGGTTAACTTTACATCATTATAGCAATACATGAAAAACTGCCGTGGGTCAATTCTAACTTAGAGAGTTATTTTATTTTTTGGCATAGTTAGTCTTTTAGTCTTTCCTACAGAAGGTAAAGGCCTTGCTTTACAATCTGCCCACAGCTTGACAATTACTGCCTAAGTGGAGCTGACACATTTATTTGTTTGTTTGATTTATATGGCTGCCACTCATGGCTTTTTCCTAATGCTAAGGCACCAGTTCCTCCCTTCATCCATGTCCCATCTCTCTACTGCCATCATGGTGCTACTGAAGAGTCTACCTAGCTGTAAAAGAAGCATATACCTAAACTAACAGAAGTATTTTCAGGCTTTATGAATCAAATTGAGAAAGAGAACTAACACAAGAGCTAATATAGGAAAAACTAAACTGATAACCAGGATAATTAAAAACCATGTTTCCATGCCTTTCTTATGTGTTCCATTCATTCTACGGTATCTCATACTGCAGGCCTTTTTTGGAGTGATGCATTTATTTGATTTACACTGTAGCCATTCAATAAACACTACAAACATTTGTCCTAATACTTGGCTCATTTTTACTATGTATTTACTATGTATTTTGTTGTTATGTATTGATTGTAAACATTAATAAAACTACATATCTAATTCAAAAACATGACCTGAATTTAAAAGGAACCCCTGCAAAACAGAAGATTAGTTAGAAGAAAAGTCATGGGCCACACTCCCCACCAAAAAAACAGACCATGCCAAGGGAAAAAGAAAACAAATAATTCAAAATGAATAAATACAACTTAAAATAAATTGCTTGCAGAATCAGGCTATTTGCAAAACTAAGTAATTTCCCACTTAGGTATTCACAAACCTTTTTCTCATACCAACCATGGTCTCTCTCAAATGGATATATATAAACATCTATACAAGCACTGCACAGTGGAAGAGGACTGAGGAAATATGGTACCATCAAGCATAAACCTTTATATGTTTATTTGTAGTAAATCTAGTATGTGTAGAGTGCTGCTATGCTGGGTTAGGGTTAGATTCATATCTCTTTAGCCCTTCTTACCCCATACAAGGTGGGGTGGAAATTGATGAAGAGATCCTTGGGATATTAATTTGTTTTTTTTCCTTTTGTTTGTAAAATAGAAATTGGATAACATAGACTTTATGCTGGGCTGTAAGCATAATTAAACCTATGCATGCTTATTTTATAGTAAGCCCAATTTAATAGTTATTCTTATTCTCAGGTAAATATTCTTCTAGTCCAGTATTTCTTAATCTTGGCAACTTTCAGATGTGTGGACTTCAACTCCCAGAATTCTCCAGCCAGTCTTGCTGGCTGGGGAATTCTGGGAGTTGAAGTCCACACATCTGAAAATTGCCAAGGTTGAGAAACACTGTTCTGTCGTTTACCTTATTCCTAGGTAATTATGTTCCAGTCAGCATGCTAGCTCTATTCCCTTTTTGTTCTCCTCCACAGACAATAATCAACTATGCAGTGGATTGCCTGTTTATCTACATAGAATCTCCATATTCCAGAATCCTAATTCACATGGAGAGCCCTCATGGACAGTGGAGGTCCTCCACTGCAAAGACATTCCTGGTCTACATGTAGAGGTGACAAGAGGGGGGAGGACTAGTGCTTATCCTGGTCCCTCTTTGAACCAGTAGCTTCTCCCTCTCTTCTGTTTCTGTTTCAGCCATTTGTTTTCATGGATACCTCCTGCTCATTCAAGAATGAGCTTGATTTCAAGAATGGCTTCTCTATTCTCAGTGAATATGAGACAATCCCAGCAATTCACAGGTAATTATTTAGGGAAAAAACCCTTTCTTCTTGGGTAACCACAGTAGGTTGAAAACAACAGAATCTGAATAAATATCTGGATGTATGTTCTTAGGCATATAGATCATGCATGTGTACATGGAGATTTGTTTTAAACACACTTAAATATGAAGTACACAGCATATAGTACAAAACTACAAAAGGAAGTGTCTGAAAAAAAAAACAGATTAAGAATAACCTGATATACAATCATGTCTCCCCAAAGTAACTTAAAATTCCTTAATCATTAAAAAAAAAATACCTTGTCTTCTTGGCTACGGAAATAATACAAAGTTTTCCCAACCAGCATACACCACACTGTCTTGGAATATCCATGTTTCACCTGCAAATGAAATGATTATTTTATACAGAAAGGCAATGAAAGATTCCTTTTTTTATCCTATATTTAAAATACAGAGGATTATAATATTGGGCTACAGTACTGTAACAACAAAGCTGCAATTCTTAAGCAAAGTACTGTATTTCTGAAAATTCTGTTGAAGCAATGACAAAAAATAGGCACACAACTATAATAACCAAGTTATTTTTATAGTTGAACTTTAATATACATTACATGTAAAACTGGAATGAAATATAAAAACAGCTGCATTTGTATATATAAGAAATAAGCTCCTTAGCCTCTTTCTGAGTTCTCTTCCTACCTAGACATGATTCAAACCAGTAGTTTTTATTTCTGTTTTAGATTAACCTTCAGGCAAAGTTTTTTCCTGTGACAATCTTAAATCAATTAGCTTAAATCAAACTGGAATTCTTACACAAAGTATTAATGACCAGCATTAATGTCTATCATATTTTGGACACATCATGTGGAGACCCAATTATCTTCAGAACTTCTCATGTTGGAAAAGTTGAAGGAAAAAGATAAAGAGGATGGCTAACGGCAAGGTAGATGGATTTGATTATGACAGCAATGAATGCATCTCTAAGAGACCTAAGTTGAAGACAGATCATTCTGAAAAGAATCTATTCATGTGGTCCCTAAGAATCAACACCAACATGATAGCATTTAATCAATCAAATAATAGTTTATAGTCCTGTTGAAAGCTAACCAACCTAAATTTAATTGTAGTTACTTGAAAAAAGGTAATTTCATGAATAGAGGCATTACATTAGCTCTTTTCAACAAACTATACTTTGCCCAAGTTCAGATGACATGGCAAATGACATTTAATGTAAGGCAGAAGAAAAAGCTTCTGAACATAGTTGCAACAGAAGACGATCACAGGAGTTTAGGTTTCATGTTATACTTCGGGAACCTAATAAAAGGTATCCAAAAGTGCCTTAGAGAAAAAGAGATTTTCATTACAATGCTTTCTTGTTATACTTTTTAAAAAAAAAATCTACCTCCCCAGTAATGTTTTACTCCTACCTTTTGCAACTCGGCTTGGAACACAAAGAGGGATTTAAGTGCTAGGTTAATCTTAAATCTTTTCCAAAAACTGGCATTTTATTAGCTAACTTTTCAAACTAACTAAAGAGAATAATAGCTAACTAAAAAGAGCAATGAATTCTTAATGCCATGCTAGTGGATACTTTCCTCCAGAATTAAATTGCATGAGAAGTTTTCTTCTAAAGGCAGAAAAAAACCCATTACATTTTGTACCCATGCTTGCTGATATCCCAATACCTAGCTGATATTATTTGCATTTTAAAAAGCTTCCTGATTAAATTCAAGGACACATTAAATGGATACCTAATTTGGCCTCAAGAATTATCAGGAAAAACGTGAGGTATTCCAACCTTTCTCAAGTAGTAATGAGAAACAAAATCTAATCCCCAGCCTTTCTTATTTATGTGTCTGCTTATTTAAAAAACAATCTCACTGTTTCCCAAAGCAAGTCAATATCTTGAAACAGGATAGGCAAGTTGTTATTGCCAGAATTGACATAGTTTCTGAATGTTCTATTTTTGTGGATTAGATCAAGAAATATAGGAACTATAAATCCCATACACTCCGGCAGCAGATGACATAAATAAAATTAAATCCTATAAGGCTTTGCTTTCCCCAGCAAAAAATCCTCAAACCAAAACCTGCATATTTCTTTAGTTTCCCGCTGCCCCCTTGGGAGCAATGAAGCTTTCATGAGATATAGGCCCATAAAACCCTTTGTTTTTTTTAACTCCCCCACCCCACTTTTTGGATTACTAATCTGACAATTAATAATCCTGGAAATCAATAATAATTCAGAAATTCTCTGATGCAATTAATAAAATCAAAATATCTGGTTTTCTAAAAGAAAACTCTTGAAATATAAAACAAAATAGGAATATGAAGAAAAGAAGAATGTGGTCTTTTACCTTAGTAAGCAAGCCTTTCACCGCTGGTTTAACATCTGGTTGAATAAAAAGTGGGCTTGCAGCCTGTACTTTAAGAACATTCTGTAATACTTTGATCCATTCTTCTAAGATGTTTGGGGAGTCTGCAGTCATGTAATAAGTTCGTTTTTCTGTAGTCAGCTATGGAGAAATGGAAACAAAACACATTGATTGAAGGTAACTGGAACATCCTCTCCAGTATCTTACACCCAGATAAACAGAGACTAACATCAGACAAAAAATCAAGCAGAAAACAGTATCCCAATCAAGGAACCCACCAAGGAGACAAACAATCAAGCAGACAAACAATACCGTAATCAAGGCACTACCAAGGAGAAAGCCCCATCAACACTGGCAGAGCAAGCTACCATATATAAACAGGGAGCAAACCCTACTCTCACAAGCACCTGATGATGTTACCTAGTTGGATAATGAAATATCTGCAATCAAACAGTCAAGCTCAGGGAACACCAAGGACTCCACAGTTCAACCCTGAGCTACATATATTATCTTCTATTGGGAGAACATTTCTACCTATATGCTCCTGATAGGTACCTATACAAAACATTATAATAAATACAGTCTGAAATTAAGGCTATTAATGTATTTATATTTCAATCTCATCTTTGATGGGAATTCAAGGTGCTCTTTATGGGTCTTCCTCAACCATATCTGATCCTCATTAAAACCATATGAGATAGTTAAGGTTGATGTGACTGGTCCAGGATCACCCTGTAAACTTCATGATTGAATGAGATTTGAATTTGGGTCTACACAGTCTTAGCCCAGAATTCTAACCTACAGGCAATTGGTAGGAATTTAAAATTATCAAAACCATTTAATATATATGTCTTAATAGCTGTTTTAAATAATAAATCATGATTTAATTTTCTTCGAAAGTCCTATGGATGACTTACCCAGGACAGGAGCTCATTCAGGTACATTTGAAGACACTAAGAGTCAGATTCAGAGGAAAGGTCTTCACTGGTTCTTCTTTCAGGTTAAAGGGATGGAGGGTACATTTGGAAAAGGAGGTCAGTCTATTTCCATCCCCTGTTCCACTATGAGCAATAATCTCAAAGATAATCTTCTGGAAGAGGGTGAAAGAAGGTGGAAACAGAGCTGCCTACCTTCTCTTTACTCACAGCCTCATTTTGAAATGAAAATGGATTATCCTTTCTTTCCCACAGAAACAGAGAATTTGTTCAAATACTTCCAAGGGCACACATGCATGTATATGCACTGTACAAACTTTCCCAGCATGTACATATACTTTCTGACACATACAGGCAAGTGCCCCATCTTTGCACATCACATTTCAATGGTTAGGAAGGGAAAAAAGATGCCACTCAGGTCTGAGACCCCATCCAGATGCCATATCTCTTTACCTTCTTTTGTTCCCAACATGGTCTCCTACCTGTTACTGACTCCTCTGCTCTGCCTAAGAAATCATAGCTGGTGCAGGTTTCAACTGAAATAAGCTTCTTCTAATGAAGTGCTATCCATACAGTTACATCTAATGAAGTGCTATCCATATAAATACGTATCATTGTGTGTCCCAATGGATATCTCGGGGAGCACTGCTAATGAAGAGGCTTATGTCAGTCAGATCTTACTTTTCTACAACCACAAATGAGATGTGGAAACTTGCAACTGCCGAAGATGTCTGCCAGTATCTGTTTCTTTATGGATAGTTCTTCCTATGAGCACAAGTCAGTGGGGAGTGGGGAGAGAAAGGAGAAACATATGCCATTCTGTTGACCCATGAAACGTAACAAGTTAAGGAAGTACCTGAACTGTTTGTTTTCCATCACCTCTTACGATACGGCTGGATGCACTTAATTCAATCTGACCCTGGGGTTTTCTTATTACATCACTCTATGGGACAAAAAAATGTGACAAGTGGATATTCAATACCAATAATTATCAACCTTATAACTGTCAGGATTTTCTTTCTCATGGGAAAGGATTCATCCCGTTATCTCTACAACAATAACA